AGGGGTGGCCTGTTCTATACCCTCCTTGCAAGGATAGGTATGTCATATGCTTGCCAGACCATGCTTAGCTATGCACTTTTGGAATTTTACCATAACTTTTTTTTGGCCTGATTCTCCACACTTTTTTTTTAATCTGTAAACTATTATAATTTCTTGCAGCTTTATGAGTTATATGCTAGAAGGACTGTTGGGTGAGGGGGGATGGAGAAAGAATAGAAATCCAAGAAATGAGTGGGCTGAGGAGAGATGGAGGGCTTGGGTCTCCCCTTGCCAAAATTTAAATACTCGGAGATTGGCTTTCAAAGGCATGTTGATGGAACTCTAGGTGACTGTTTAGTTCAGGGTTTATACCTATGGGTATTTTGATAGACCCTTAGCGCTAACATAACACACTCACATTACCTACCGTAACTCGTTTTGTTAACTAAGGATATTCTGTACACTCCATGGGGCACACCACTCCTTCCACCCCCTTGCTGAATGTCTGGTAAACAATTTATAGTTCAGCATCTGAAACATCAATAAAAGCTAGCTGGAGAGGAGTTGTTATTGGTAACCAACTTGTTACACTCGAGTAGTCAGATGGTTTTTATCCGCTGTTGAGGACTCATGTTTGAAATGCAGGCTTGGAGCTCAATTAGTAGAGACAGAGTCGGAGCGGGGAGAGACATGTATTAAATTAACCTAGTCATTAGTTTTTAATTTAAATACTGTTCAGCTAAATAATTTGGCACCAGTGAGTTCCAGTGGTGCTGGGCTGGCAGTTTGAACACACCACTAATTATTTACAGGTTTTTTTTTTTCTTTTCTTTTCCTCCCCCCCTCTTCTTTCCAGAGAAATGTGGAACCCGCAATTTATTGTGGTAAAAAAAATATTTTCATGCACTTGCTTTTTCTGTGAAAATATTTTTCGCACATGGATGACTAGTACCACAAAGCTAGCTCTCACCACCTCCAGGTCAATCCATTTTAGAACATTCCGAAAAGCGACACCCTTGAAACGAGAAAAATAAGTCAGTAAAGGGGTAATTAGTCCACAGGAGCTTGTCTGGGTCTGAGGCGCAAACTGAAGACTTTCCCATTGCAGGATAGAGATCTGTGCATTGTCAAAATCAGCTTTTGGGCGAGAACACAGTCCCCCCACTCTCCGAGCCTCTCCCCCCACTCTCTGAGCCTCGTACTGTTATTTCTGAACTCACTTTAGTAGTTTTGTAGGTAAGTTTAGAAATGGAGTTGTACTGAAGGCTTGTGGCTCTTTGTTTATCAATGACCAGTACCCCCACATACACGATGCCTTAGGAGAGTCAGCACAAGGGAATGGACGCATGCGTAGCCTCTGGAGTTTGTCCTAGCCCAGATCCTACCCGGCTTTAGCTGAAAGCTCTTCAGTAGCACCCTGACCACCTAAAGCAAAGGCCCTTAGACTCGAGGATCATTACAACTGCCGAAGGGAGGCCTCGGCTCCATCCTGATTCCGGCTCTAGGGAGAGGCCTGAGAGCTGATGCAA